TAGGCAGGTAGGTTGTTCTTCAGCCCGGCTCGGTTCTGACTTGCTTAATGCTTATTAGTCCTAGGCAATGCATTTGATTAATTGATGGATGAATGAATGGGTGGAGGGATAGGTGGATGAATAAATGGATTCTTGGATTGATGGGGAGGGTTCCACAAAGCCGCTGATGCAAAAGGCCTTTGGGATATCATGATTGAGAGAACGGAAGCATGATATTCTTCAGCCATGTGTTGGTCAAACATTTGGAGGCGGCGAGAGGCGTTGAATAAGTATTCTTTGACTTTGGGTTTGCAAAACGAAAGGAAACATGATCTTCATCCGTTCATAGAAGATATGGGGGGATGGTGCGGCGGTCTTAACCACAATCCACCACAAGAGAGGGTCATGCATTGATGTGGTAGATGCGCACGGTAGGTAAGATATTGTGTGTGTATCACAGCCTCAATCAATCCTCTCGGAATTAATTAAGCCCATGTTCATCTGGCAGATACCAGGATGGTAGATGCTAAGATACTAATGAGATACTAGGTACATTACGAATTACCTATAAGACATGTGAGAAAAAGGGTGTGTTGCCCAGTTGTCCAGTTGCATCCAAAGCATTCATAATTTGACAAGGCCAATGAGTTGCCGTCAACTAATTCATGCTCACTCCTCAAACTGTACGACAAAACTCGATATGGAACCAGGATCTCACCCACTCAGTGCCACCACCCACCCACACTCTTGTACATCTTTCGCCTGTGCAGAACCCAAGTGTATCTAAGTATGTATGCAACACTAACCACCATCGAAATCCCGGTTAGTTATCATAAACGGTGAACATTCCCTTTCCTTTTCGTAGTTTAGTCCTATCACGTTTGATTACTTGATTAAGGACAAGTCACAAAAGAAGGAATAACATTTCCCGGGTAGATCCAATGGTTGAGGTAGTAGTCAACAATAGAGTTTATTAGATGACATCGTAGTCAGGTAAATCTAAACAATCATCCCAATTTGAATTCCCCATTCAAAGTCGAACATTCATTCCACTAGATTTACAAATCTACACGATTTATTGCGATTCTATCTCCTCAATGCAGTTTAGCATCTACGACACAATTCGGATACCCACCTAAGCCATCCAGTACCCCGAAACCACCCAAAGCCACATCAAATCACACCCCCTATTCCCCTCCTCGGTCTATTTCGGCTCACCATCTCAATTAAGAAATACATCTGACAGCCGTCAACCGCAGTGCAGCCGTGCGGACAGCGCCCCCAACCGGCATTATTACCTTATTCTTCCGGGCGGTACATGATAATTACACGGAGCATCAAATGCTCTTTTGTCATGTAGGTACGGAGGATTTACGCACTTCACTCAAGAAATTGAAACCATAAAATACAAGTTTCCATGAGTCAGGATCATATCTTACCCTCACCCACTTCACACATTCCGAGTTGTTTGCACGTCGTATCGTATTTAAGGTTGTTTCAAATGACAACCCATTCCCTCCTTTCACTAGACTGACTTTTGATCAACCCAATCCGTTGTTCAACTCGAGAACATTCTAAAAATCTCTTCCAAACTTTACCTTTCCTCCCCACAACCACGTTTCCACGTTGTAAGATTTGATAGAAGCTTGATGACGAATACCCACCTCGAAATCCTGTTCGCCTTGTGTTTGTTATCGGGTTGAGTTTCTTGCCAACTCGTCATCTTTCAAGTACCTATGTAAGAATACACTTAGTAATACATCCATCTATTCATCTATCCATCGATTCAACTCATTCTCTTCTTTCCGCACATCACATCACATCACACCCCAATTCCAATCGCCTCACGCATGTCCAGTGTACGTTACAGTACAGTAGGTACTTCCTCCCCTGCACTAAGCCGTCGCACATGCATCTCCTACAGAAGCGCAGCCCATCTGCATGTCCATACCACAACCTAAGTCACAAACATGATACATCTACTGAACTCATGTGCTTCATCATCACTCTTTTCTTCTTCTCGATTCCTAACCGCCTCTCCCATGTATTGCTCTCAACAATCCTCAACAATCAATCGATCAGACACATTTAGCAAACTGTCCATAACACTCTCCCTTTTCATCCGTTTCATTCGCTTATATGTCATGTTATGTCATGTCATGTCATGCCATGCAAGCAAGACCAACTCCAGTCCTGCACCACCAATTTATCCCCCGCAATCACCAACGATTCAATTACATTCTTTCCCTTCGATTCAACCACACCATGAACCAAAAAAAGGCATTGGTAACTTCACGATCCCCCGTTTCCCGTTATCTCCTTCAAACTCTTCCCCTCTTTTTATAACCGCAAACCACAAACTCACCCTGCACAACACATAAGTATTCGCCTCAATCTAAATTGGCTTTCGATCGTCACATGCCGCTTGGCCCCCAATTGTAACTTGACGTGGCTTTTTTTTCATCACACGCATATTCCCGTGGTTTATCAGCCACAACTGCCAGTAAAAAACGGAAAGTGGCTTGAGTGGCTTAACTTTCTTACAATAGCATCACATCTAGCCTTGGCTTTTCCTGCTTGCCTACTAACTCGGTTATCGTATCTTTGAACATTCCTCTCTCCTTCTCGCCTTACATTCGTACACGTACAAGGTAAAATCTTCCATCCATTCCATTCCATTCCCTTTCATCATTCCTTATTAACTCAGCTCCAAATTCATCATAAAACCAAAAGTCATCCTCATTCTCATCCTCATCCATATCCACGCGATCTCAAAATCTCACTAACAGCTAATCTCACAATCCCACAATCTCATCTCTCATCTAATTATGTCACACCCTAAATACACCACACCAAAACCATACATACATACATATCACACCCTACCCTAGCCTACCTCACCCCAAAACCTCGCTCTTCATTAACCTTCCCTCCCATCCCATCCCTTTCATAAAAGAAAATCCAAGCACAAAAAAAAAACACAAATCTGCACATCCTCATCCTCATCCTCATCCTCAAACACAACACCACAACCATCCACAACGAGCGTGCGCACAAACTCCCAAGATTACGATCATACGATCGGGATTATCGGAATCAATGGTTGGACGTGCCGGTAAGATAGGTGAGACATGGCTGGTTGGTGCTTGGGTGACTGGATCCGGTTTTTTTTTCTCTCGGTGCTAAAATTTCTTGGCTTGGGTGTCTTTGTAAACTTTGTGTTGTCCAGGAGTGGGTGGGAGATGGGTTAGGTGAGTTTGGTCTGCGTACTGGACTGGGCTGGGGGATTTGCTCACGTGTTTTCTTCTGGTCAGTATGAGATGTGGGAGATGGCTGTGTTCATTCTTTGAATGTAATTGTACAAATCTTTGCAGAATGATGCAGAATTCTAGATCACATCCCTCCGATACTCACATTTCTACGCATGTGATTATCACGTGCCTCCACACACTTGAATGGTCTTGATCTCATCTTCGTTTACACGTGTCGCTATTAACTCCTCTATAACCCTCATCGTTCTTATTACTTATATCTTAGTTAACCTTTCTATAATCTAAATTTCTACATCTCTAATATCTATTTTCAAATTAGTCTTATCAAAAGATAGAAACTACCTAGGTAATAATATTAACTACTAGATAGTATTTTCATATAAAATACTTTAAAAATCAGATCACTATCAAATAGCTATAAATTCTTATCGAGAGAATGTACTAAAAAGATATAAATAGATATAATATAATTATATTTAGAATACTACTTAAGTATATCTAGTAGAAATAGAAATAGAAATAGAAATAGAAATAGAAATAGAAATAGAAATAGAAATAGAAATAGAAATAGAAATAGAAATAGAAATAGAAATAGAAATAGAAATAGAAATAGAAATAGAAATAGAAATAGAAATAGAAATATCCTTAATATCCTTAATATATTTATATACCTACATACCTATATACCTATCTATTTATCTCTATAAAAGAAATCAAAAAGAAATCAAAAAGAAATCAAAAAGAAGAGTTTAAATAATAGATAAATATATATAATAAGTAATAATAAATAAGTATATACATAGTATATAAACTAAGTATATAATAAATAAGCAGATAATAAATAAACATATAATAGATAAACATATAATAAATGAATATATATATATATATATATACTATATCCCATCACATCAACATCCTCACATTCATATCCTCACATTACATCCCAACTCCAACCCCAAATCCCCCCATATTTCCCCTACCTACTACCTACTACTCAGACCCCCTCCTCCAGACCCCTTCCCCCAGATACCTACCTATCTACCTACCTACCTACTTCCTACACACTCACCCCTCCCCCTCCCCCCTTACCCCTCCCTAGCCCTACCAACCCCAGTTTCCAACCCCAGATTCCCATCAACATCTCATCTCCCTCATCTCTTTCATCTCCTTCATCTCCCTCATCTCCCTCATCTCCCTCATCTCCCTCAGCTCCCTCATCTCCCTCATCTCCCTCATCTCCCTCATCTCCCTTATCTCCTTCATCTCCTTCATCTCCTTCATCTCCCTCATCTCCTTCATCTCCTTCATTTCCTTCATCTACCTCACCCACTACTAAGTAATTAAAGCTAAGCTAAGCTAAGCTTTCATACTCCTATATTATATTATATAAATTATATTAAATATATTAAATATACTTTCTCTCATTCCTATAGTAATATTATACAATAGGATATTATACGATACAATAGGATACGATACAATAGGATACGATACAATAGGATACGATACAATAGGATACGATACAACACGATACCATTCAACCCTACCTATTCAATTCAAATCCACACAACACAACACAACACATCATTAGGTAGATTATCTTACCCTCACTCTACTATCAAGATCATAGATATCTACCCATCTAATATTACAATCATACCTTCGCAATCCTCACAATCACACTCACCCCTCGCAAGCAAACAACAGATTATCACTCTCGAGTCTCACCGAAACACATTCAGGTCATGCTATATCATTTTTCATTCTTGATTCTTGATTTCGAATTGCTTTTGATTTCGAGTGATTCCTCTCCATCTCCAATCCTTCTTTATCTTCTCTTTCCTTCTCCTCCCCTCATCACCTATTCTCTCCTCCTCCTACATCCCCGCAGGTCACCTCGTAACCCATCGCTATACAATCCACCGCCCTCTTCTTCATTTCCAACTCCACTTCCTCTCAATCTCTCAATCACAAGCTCTCACCCTCTCTCTCATCCTTCACCTCACTCTCCCATCCATGAATTATAATCTACACATAAGCAGAAGCACTTTCACCACCCTGATTTTGATCTCCACTCCAATCCAAACCCATGCCATCCCAATCCCCTCAAGACATACTATCCAATCCTATCATCCCAAACTCCCAATTCTTTCAATGTGCAATACGCCCGACACCCAATTCTCTAACATTTCTATGATACACATTTAAAATCATCAATCGTATCTTTCCCTCTCATGCATCCAATACGGTCAACCCAGGTGTAATGGATTTCTTTGTGTCGCGATCGTCAGTATCAAATGTTGCTTTGTCTTATCTTTTTGCAGCTCTAGACTCCGTTCCAATGTTCATGCTTCGCAACTTCGTATTTTCTTTGACGATTCTCTACTATAGTAGATACGATGGGATGTATGATCTATTCATGATCATTTCAATACCTCTTTTGTGACGGAAAGAAACACTTTTTGCCTACTCCATCATGCTGAATAATGAGGAACTTCACTCGGTGTCTCTTGTCATCTCCTGTTGTCTTCAAAGTGACAGGGAATTATTTTAAAAGTCAACGCTTTTCATTTTCTTGTATTGTACCGACAGGTAATTCCAGGATCAGCGTTTAAAATTGATGATTGCCAACTATACAAACCATTAGTATTCGTTTGAACAACAACACACAAGATACATACCACACTATTGCAACCATAAGCCAATTTTTGACCATGTGCATCCCAACTCAAAGCGTGTTCATCTTCTCCATTTGACTCAGTTGATTGTGGTGTTTGCCAGCCATTTCCAGGTGGTCTATTCCAAGTTGCTCGAGGAAAGTAAGCATCGTCGACTTTCCAAATAAAAACTCGATCACTAGTCGCACCAGCAATGAATGCGCCATCTGGAGTGAATTTAACCTTGAAAACACTAGTCGAGTCAATTGTCATTGAACATTTTTGCTTTGGCTCCAAAGATTTGGCATTCCAAATGCTAACGGCGCCATCTTCACTAGATGAAGCCAACAACCTTTCATTGCTTTCACTGCTTTCACCCTCCGAATCAGATGGAGGCAATGGTTGCCATTCAAGGGAAGTAATCGGTCCGGTATGAGCATTGAATGTTCGAGAACGACCTTTCTCATCCCATATCTAAGAATATTAGTAATGAACAAGCTTAACAGTGAAAGTACCTACATCAATCATACCACTTTGACTACCAGTAGCAAGTAACTTTGATTCCCTGTCGAAAGTAGCATGCGTTACACGATGATCGTCACGATGTTCATATTTCGTCAAATATTTGATCTTTCCATCCGCGTATCGAAATATCTGTAGAAATTCATTTCCGTAAGCCATGAAATCCTCATCACTCATCCATAGACCTTCAAGCGGGGATTCGAAAATTGGCATCGATGGTATTGTATGTTGTATTGTTGTAAAGTCGGACATCGAAGTGACCGTCAAGGTTGATGCTGGTGTAGAAAGCCCTTTAAGTGTAATTGGAGAAACTGTCAAAAATAATGTATTCGAGAAGTTCCACTTTAAAGAAACGACTGGACCTTCCATTGGACTAGAGGTGTGCAATAGTTGACCCTTAGCAGTCCAAACAGTAACAGTTGCGGTTCCATCAGGTTCCTCACTCGAAACAAGAATATGGGTTCCATCCGAAGACCAGGTAACTTCATTGACCATTGTCGGTTGAGGCGCGAGAGGCTGGAGAAGAGGAATACACGGTGGAACAATCCCATTCGTATTCATGCCTGAAGCATTAGGGTTATTACTTCCATTGATATGATCGGCGACCGTACTTGATAGATCCCACATTCGAGCTAATGATTCAGTACCCCCCGCGGCCAAGAGATTTGGTAGCTTTGGATTCCATTCGCAACGATATAATACGGTCGATTTTGATACATTGTCATCCAATAAGTCTAGGTACAACGTTTCGGTTTTGAGATTTGTGACTTTCTCGGACTGGGTACCCCTTTCGGGTCCAATGGTGGCAGTGACTGGTGATGGCAGTTGCTCTGGTGAGGGATAAGCGTGACCATCACCATTTTGATCAACATCAATTTCCATGGGCGTTGAAGCCGAATCGTAGTAATTTGAGCTTCCATTTCCGTTTGTGGTTCCATTTGAAATACCATTTTCATAACCATTGGTAAGTCGTGGTTTCTTTCCTGGTGGACCATTTGAATTTGAAATTGATTCTTCTTCTAGTTGATGTTTCCGAGCAATTTCCAAATCCTCATTGTTGTTGAGGGATTCTTGAGGTGATGTGATGATGGGAATAGTTCTGTTTGCTATTTCCAAGGGACCAAAAACACCCATTGGTATTTCTGAATCTGAAACATCTTGAGAGCGTCCTTGATGTTGACGGAATGCCTAAAAGAAGGGTGTTAATTGAAAAGAGTATCTGTAGTTGATATATATCCAACCAATTAAATAGTAAAGGGTCTTGGGAGAGGAGATGTATGAAAGAAAGATAAAGTATGAAGTGAAGTGGAGTGGAGTGGAGTGTGGAATGAAGTGTCAAAGATTCATCAAGTGAAGTGTGAGTGAAGAGGCATGAATTGAGGGATGAATGAGAGTGATTTTTTGTCAAATGAAAGATTTAAAATCAAAGTCACCAAAACCGAAACCAAAACCCAAAAAAGAAATCATGTGTGATGGCATCAAAAACTATATCAAATAAAAATAGAAAAGGTAACGATTTCAACATACCCTTGATGCTTCTCTGTTATATGCATCATAAAGAAGACCTTTGTTTAGAACGGAGACTAGTGCATGCTTTCCGACATGGGGCGCAAATGGTAATAAATCTGGTTGTTGAACGTCCCACTCTTTTGAAAGGTGACGAGCCGCTCCTTCGTAACCTGCAAGAGAGACGAAAGAATTTTGATCAGTTCAATGATTCTTCATACAATAATTCCCCTCAACTACCATCTTTGGATTACCTCAGGCTTCAAGAACCCAAGATAATTAGGAAAAAGATTGAATGAGGATTTTGAATATATCATCTTCATCTTCATCCTCATCCACATCCTTATCCTTCTTGCCCTTTCCTTTCCTTATCTTTTCTCTTCTTCAATGTACTTGTACATACCTGATTCTATTAAATATCTATAGTACAAAGTACAATAAATTGCTGTTAGCGAAATGTAATCTCAAAGCCGCTCCGTACCTGGATTTAGAGAAAGAGAGAGAGAGAGAGAGAGAGAGAGAGAGAATGTGTGTATGTATTGTGTACGTATATGTATGTTATATGTGTGTGTGAACGAGAGAGAGAAAGCCCGAATGGATAGATCACGAGGGAAACACGTACTTCCAAATGATATAGTTCACCTTGTCCGAGGTTAAAGTTTCCTTCGTCATTGCTATTTCGTTCGTCTTCGAGGAAGGCCAGACGTTGTTGTCGCTGTGGTTATGGCTGCTGTGGTTGTATCGATGTTTCTTCGATTTGATATGGTGATGATCAAAAAGAGGTCTGATTCGTGATGGTGTAGCTTCAGAGGTTGATGTATATTGAATTCAAGTACAGTACAGTGGAAAAAGCGAAATTTGAGGTATGGGGTATCTCTATCGGATTTGGGGTATTGAATTGAATGGGATCGAATGGAATGCGGTGGTATCGTGGGGTTGAAATGTATGATGATTTGCGCGCTGGATGGTATCTTGTAAGGACCGTGAATTTCAATTGTTGAGATGGTGGTGGTGATGTTGTCGATGTATGTAAAATGGATTTTATGTTGTTGTAGTTATGTTTTTTTTTGCGGGCTGTGTTGAATTCGAGATTGAGGAATGGATGGAAAAGAGACTTGTTCGTTGCAACTTGCCGGCTTGTAGCTAGAAGCTAAGGACGATATTAAAAAAGCCAGAGACGAGCGATGATTGGCTGGGAAGTGGGTAGAGATCCAAAAGAATTCAAGCAGGGGAGGAGGAATCATTGGATAAAAGTAAAAAAAGGGTATGAAAGTGCAATAGGGACGATCTTATTCAAGTCGGCTAGTCCCCATTGAGCACGGACTAGTCCCGAGTAGGTATTTCTTTTCCTCTGTGTCGAAAAGATGAAATTGTATGACCCTTCAGGACCAAGTATTGTGACGCTGGGATTGGAAGCGATCACGAATGCTATCCATGTGAATGATGGGCCGAGTGAGGTCAGAAGTGATGATGGAGAGGGAGAGAGGGAAAGAATAAATATGTATGTGCTGTATGCGTGAAATGCTCAGATAAATAGATCATATATGAGCATGTGAAGAAAGTGAATTGAACATCTCATCTCGAAGATGGTATTTACTATCGTCACAGATGTGATTCTCATCCGTTGGTTGCGTGTGCTTGTGCTTCTACCATTGCGGCATGTTCATCACAAAGGCAAAGAGAGGGTTTGAGATCAATGGAAGCGGTGGCATGGATTATTTCTAGAGTGCCTCAGGCTACAAGTAGTCAGGTCTGCGCATGACAAGCAGCCCCCTCAAAAACGGCAATGAAAGTCATGGCATGGCAGTCAAGGAACATTTATACTTTACTTCATCCACATCCACATTCACATTCACATTCACATCCATCCGTCCACGGGTATCCATATCCATATCCATATCCATTTCCATATCCATTTCCATATCCATTTCTATATCCATTTCTATATCCATTTCTATATCCATTTCCATATCCATTTCCATATCCATTTCCATATCCATTTCCATATCCATTTCCATGTCCACATCCACATCTAAGATCACGATCTACTCGGGAATCCAATCTATACATACAGTGCGGTGCTACGATACCATAGATACTACCGTACAATCCTTTATCATTGATCCCATCCAAGACGTGTCAAAAAGCATCCAACCTATCTGTCTGGAGATCATGTACCACTCACCCACCCACCTACCACCTACCACCTTACTATAATAAACCTACCAGGGGTCAGACGGACGGACACGGGGATTCAAAAGAAACGAAAGAACTAAAAAGAGACCGGTACAGGACCATACTGTACAGAGAAGAAGAAGCCAAGCCGAAGAAACAAATGACAAGGGATCCCAAATTTACAATGGGAAGTGTGATCGTCTGCCCTATCGAAAATCGAGATGCATGTACAGTAGGATAGTAGTATGTGAAAGGTCTGTCTGCCTATCTATTTATCTATCTATGGCTTGAGTCCACCAACCGCTTGCGAATGATAGGACGATTAATAAATAATGGAGAAAAGAGGAGGGAAAAATGATCCCCTTCATTTCGATGTTCATACATGAAACTGACTCTGGAGATTCCCATTCTCACTTCCATTTTCATTTCCATTCCTATTTCCCATTCCCTTGATGCCTTTCTTTGATGCCTTTCTTTGATGCCTTTCTTTGATGCCTTTCTTTGATATTAATTTTCCGAATCTTTGTTGATTGTATGATGGATAAAGCCGACAGCGAGATTGATTACCATATACATATACCACATTTGACCATTCGGATTTGAGAAAAATCCGAATCTTGAAAATGACGGATTTGGTGTCAATGTCCTGACTAAATTTACCTAGGTTGTATTAGTATGATATAGTGTAGTGTAGTATATTGTAGTATAGTAAAAGCATACTTGGCTTTCTCCCTAACTTTCCAAAACTCTTTGACTGACTACGGTGTCTGGTTAATAATAAGCAACGGGAATTTCCTCGAGTCAAAATTGGGTGGTTACATATCACACCTGGGCACACTAAAGAATGGAGATCTTGGCTAGAACTAAAGAAATGGAGTCTTTTTCTGAACTTTCTTCTAGACCATTAAAGGCTTAAGATATTGGCTGAAGATGCTTCCGTACATTTAAGAATGCATCAAGTGATAGGCGAGCTGGATTCGAGTACCTAGTAGGTTGGTAGGGTGTACTACTTTTACTAGGTAGCTAGTATGTACAACGGCGTACGATATGTAATGCTTGCTTGCTTGCTTGCTTGCTGCTTGCTTGCTTGCCTTCAATAAAGATGGTGGGATGGAATGGGGCGGCGATGGTCGGTTTGTTTGAAAGTTAGATGGATACTAAAGATGTGCGTGTGTGTGTACCTAGCATGTGTGTGTGACAAGAGAAATGCCTGTCAGTAATAAATATACATTAACATTATCCTATCATTATATCGTACGGCGTATATAGTATTATTTTTAGTTTCTCGAGAAGAAATGCTACCACGTCAGGTAAAGCACGACTTTGGAATATCTCCCTCTCTTGAGCTCGGATGAAAGATCCATGGAAGTACGACAACAGTTTGTTCCTGTTCCCGTTGTTGATCAACGTCTCATCCCCGAGTAAGATTCATTCCTATCTCTACCGAGTACATTAATTCTTGACCATAAATGACAATTTAGATGATCAAATTCTCTGGTGATGAAGACTTGTAACGAGATACTATCTGCTACCGACCTGCGTCCCTACCTCCTACCTAGGTACAGTATTACTACACTACACGCACGACTTTACGCTGGTCTCGGGGATCACAACCTACATACCAGATATGTGACTTACCTCCAAGATCAACGCTTTTCTCTCCATCTTTCTTGATCGACTAAGAATAAGGGACGGAAGTGCGAAACAAACTAAATAGTTAGCAGCAGAAGAGAATTGATGAACGACTCGCTAGAACTAGAATGTGAATATGAATTTGAAAATAATAAAAAATCAATCCAAATACTGATGCCTACCTAGTAGGCGTGATGATGATGCACAGCAGTAGTTCAAATGTATCCCTCCCCTGGCCTGGGGTTCCAAATATTACGAGTGATGGGAAGAGAACCTCATAACTTTTATTAAACCAACCCAACCCATCACATCCTTTCCCTTTCCCTTTCCCTTTCTACCGTGACACCAATACTACACCGCGAATCTATTCACATTATCGATAGGTACGAGGGTACATACCCAGGCAGCTAAGCTATCCCTAGTATGTGGGTTAGTTAATTCAGGTACGTGGAACTTCCAACTGTATCACCTAGGCACTATTAGTCTATACCATACCACACCACACATCCATCATTCTTACTTGCGCATATACGATTCACGATTCTTTCTTTACTCTTTGCATTTTCCGGTACCGCCTCTCCCCTCTCTTCCCATCAAACCTTGGAAAGTGTTGGTTGACAACCTGCATCCATATCCATCACACGCATAAATAATTTTAAAAAATCGACAATCTGGATGAACTTCTGCCAATCGTACTTCGCCCACATTTTCGGAATTTCTACCCGGCATGTTTCTGGCCAGGAATCGACGGAGTAAGTTGGAGCTAGTCACTAATGGGGCTTAGTACATCTCCATAGCCTCACACCCTTCACGTGGCTTACAATTTTTCAAAACATGCCGGATCTTATTCTCTCTTGCGTCAGCCTTATGTTTGAGGCTGGATATTTTGGGTTTACAAGGCCGAAACAATTGAAGTGGTCTGTGCTTAACATCCTACCCTTATTGGATTTGATGACACTTTATTTTTAATAAGGGAAAGCTTGATGAAAATCACCAAAGCTTTATTTTATTGAAGATATACCTGATATATCGTACATCAACTTTCGAACTGCAGATTCCCATACCTACCGACTTACTTATCAAGGAGGAAGGGTCTGACATTACTTCTACGGTATTTCTACATATTCCTAAATATGCCACCAAGATTAAATATTCCTCCAGTGACGAGGATACTACTCATCGCATTACTATCTGAATCCATTCTGAGTGCCGCAATTCGATACAAACAATGGAATAAGGAAACCGCCGCAGAGCTTCACGTAGTAGTTCCATACCTCTCGCTCGTACCTCAGTTATCCTTTGTGTATCCCTGGACGTTTTTGACAACGACATTGGTGGAAAATAATGTGTTTACGCTGGGGATCGCTGGAGTGACGTTATTTTATGGAGGAAGATATCTGGAGCGGGCATGGACATCGAGGGAATTCGCAAAGTTCATTGTAGTCGCATCACTCATTCCCAATCTCTTGACTTTCGGGACGTTGGTTTTTTTCTTTGCTATTACGGGTGATATGAGCTGGACGTGAGTTACTCAAATTTTATACTTTTTCTCTTTGAAATCGCATCTATCCATCTATCTACCTATCCCTTCAATCAACTAACACCTCAGCAAAAGTCTTAGCTCAATAAACGGAACCATCCCCCTCCAAATCTCCTTCTTAATCGCCTTTTCTCAACTCGTACCAACCCACACCGTCACCCTCTTCAAAGGCATCCTCTCTCTCCGCGTCCCCCGCTTCCCCGCCCTCCATCTCCTTACCATCCTCACCCTCTGCGCCATCCAACTCCTCAGCATCTCCTCCCTCTTCCTCGTCTCCTACGCTTTCCTCGCCTCCTACACCTACCTTCGTTTCTACAAATCCGCCTTCCCCGATCTCGACTCCAACCAATCCCCCACTCTCCGCGGCGACGCATCCGAAACCTTCGCCTTCGCAGAATTCTTCCCCGGTCCCCTCAAACCCCTCATCTCCTCCCTCGCAGACTCAATCTTCAATACCCTCGTCGCCCTCAAAATCTGCACTCCCTTCTCCGCAGCAGATGTCTCGGCCAGCAGAGGTGAATCCTCATATATCCCACAAAGAACTGCCCCCGGCGGCGCAAGAGCAGAAGCAGAAAGAAGAAGAGCCCTGGCTCTCAAAGCCTTAGATCAGAGATTACACGCGGCGAGCAGCAAGAACGTACCGCCGCCCGCTCCCTCGGGTCCAAGTATCGCGACGCAACCGCAGCCCGGGACGCAGACGGCGATGACGAGTCAGCAGGGGGAATTGTTGGGCGAAACGAATTATGTGCCTGAGGGACATGGTGAGAATAAAGGGGGTTCGTGATGAGGTTGGAAAATGGGGATGACATGATTTCTTAATGGGAATGAATAATGAGTAAAAGCTTTTCGATGCAGGCATGCAGATGGAATATCGGGTATGGATACTTGAACTCTGCATATTGGGTTTGGGTGATTACCTAGGTATGCAGTTGTTTACTTGGGTGTGTACTTTGTCTTTGTTTCATGGCCGTTCTATTGCATTGTGTTGTGTTCTCTGGTTCGATGGCATCCTGTTGGACTTGATTGTATTCTAAGTCTCTCTCCCAGTTCAGTTCTTGACCCGAACATTCGAAATAATTATATCTATGATACCCACTATATATACATGTACCATTTTCATCCATCAATTCAGCCAGTCAACCTCTCTCTGTGTGTCTCTCTCTCTCTCTGTCTGTCTCTGTGTGTGTGTATGTGTGTGTGCATATATGAATAATCAATAAGTAGGTAGCTAATTCGAACTATACAGCGCGCATATCTCGTTCTTGGCTGGGTATCTATCTATTCGATAGGTATTGTGTTTTCTTTCTTGGTTTGATATGTGATGTTTGTTTTAATCTGTAATGTTTGTTTTGATTGGATGGGAGTTGATATGGGGATGTTGATATGGGGATGTTGATATGGGGAGGTTGATATGGGGAGGTTGATATGGGGAGGTTGATATGGGGATGTTGATATTGGGAGGTTGATATTCTTGTACTTGTGAGATTTGTTTCTTTCTTTCTTTCTTTCTTTCTTTCTTTCTTTCTTTCTTTCTTTCTTTCTTTCTTTCTTTCTTTCTTTCTTTCTTTCTTTCTTTCTTTCTTTCTTTCTTTCTTTCTTTCTTTCTTTCTTTCTTTCTTTCTTTCTTTCTTTCTTTCTTTCTTTCTTTCTTTCTTTCTTTCTTTCTTCTTTCTTTCTTTCTTTCTTTCTTTCTTTCTTTCTTATATTGTTTTGATAGGAGATAGGTGAGTAGGTAAATAGATGGATGGATATATGGATGAATAGATTGGTGGATGGGTAGGTGTGTTGTTTATTTTCTGTTTTGGTGAGGTAAGTGGATTTTTTGGTGTTTTGGTAGATGAGTAGATGAGTAGGTAAGATGGGAGGGATGGAAGGGAGGGATGGAAGGGGAGGGATGGAGGGGTAGGTGTGTTGTTTATCTTCTGTTTTGGCGAGATAAGTGGATTTTTTGATGTTTTGGTAGATGAATAGATGAGTAGGTAAGATGGGAGGGTGGTAAGATGGGAGAGTAGGAGAGTAGAAGGGGAATATTGTGATACGTAGGGAAGGGGAGGAAAGGGGGGGATAGAGGGATGTGAAGGAAACAAAGTACTGTGATGTGAGAATTTTGTATCTTTGAAATTTGGAACTTATTACGAATTTGGGAAGAAGGGATGTGGAATATGGGATGGTAGTTATAGATTTTGACTTGATGAGCTTGGAGGGGGTTTTGGGAAGATGGAGGGATAGATGAATGGAAGGGTGGAAGGGTATATGAATAGAAGGAGAGAAGGAGAGAAGGATGGTGAAGAATGAGGAATATGAATGGTATGAAGTTGGCAAAGTATGTGGCTGGGTTTAGCTTGACTTGACTTGGCTGGGAAGAGATGGGGGTTTAGGTATGAAGGGAGTATGATGGAAGTTTGAGGTTTGAATTTTGAAGTTTGAATTTTGAAGAATAGATCGGAGATTAAGGGACGATTGGGGAGACAGGATAGAGATGAGTGATATGTTTAGCTTTGAGAGAAAAATATAGAGTTAGCAAGTCGAGTGCATGCGAGAAGCAGATTTGAATATTGAGGGATAGCTGGGGAGATTGGAGTAAGTGGATCAGTAATTATATAAGAGGATTTACAAAAGAGAAGTGGGAGAAGTAAAAAAGGAGGTCGAAGATACGCTAATCGAGAACGAGGAGTTGAATGCCTGGGAATGACGGCAAGTGCGGAGTTCTTGTGTGGTAGATGGGGAGGAGCACGGGTTGGAGTGATGATGGATGCGGAATTGAGTGTGAATAATAAGGTTGATGTAGTAGAAAGTTTGTGGTGGGAATCTTGATCCTTGATTTATTCTATGGAGATGCGAGGGGAAGGGTGTGCTTCCATTTGGAGAAGGATAGGTGATATGGAAGCGTTGAGGTTGAGATGTAAGATGAATGTGTGTGCGAGAAGCCAGTGAAGCGGACGGAGATTTTATAAAATAAGGGGAAATTTGGGGGTGAGTAGGTATTTGATACTCTGATGTATGCGGAAGAGCTTAGGATGTTCAAAAGTGTGGGCGGACTGCTGTTTCATAATCGAAAATCTTAGAACGTTCAGTTCTTTCTAGATGTTGAAAGTAGTTCGAGTATCAAAATGGTGTGAGATGTTGAAGTACTATTTCCAGAATCTCAAAATTAGAATCTACAAATGTTAATGGATTGTAGTCCGGGCTATCAGAAACACTGGCTCACCTTGAGGTAACAGTAACAAACAGTGTAATAACTTCATTGTATCCTGGAAAAATAGTACACATAACCGAATACACATGAAGTTTCACCATAGTAGAGCGAATATGAGTTTGCATTGCTATTTATTGATTATTGTACATATTAATCTTGGGCTATGTTGGGAAGCCAAAGCTAGTCATCTTCTTTGACGCGAGCCAACTCTTGATATCTTCATGATATGGAAAAATAACTAGAAAAGGTACAATTTGTTATGTTGAAGAGACAGGAAATGATTCTGAATCATGGTTATCCTCCATGCAAACCTTGTTTTGTGTATGTCCAGCGCCATGATTTACATGCCATTACAAGAATTTTCAAAATGAGCATTCTCAATCTAGACTAGCCTCATCGTCTTCATCATCTTCTTCATCTTCTTCTTCATCATCTTCTTCATCATCGTCTTCATCATCGTCTTCATCATCGTCTTCGCCATCGTCTTCATCGTTAATGTAGTGGCCAAAATCATCTATATCTAAAAGATCCTCGTAATCATAAAAATAATCGTCGCTATCGGTATCCTCAGCACTATCATCACTATAGGTTTCGTATCCTCTGTCCTCTGACTCTCTCATAACGGTGGCCCAAATCTCGTCCATGGTTATGAATTCGTCTCCCGCTGGCATACACTTCTTGATGACACGGTGTTGTAGTACTTCGCCCAGAGAACTTCCCCGAGTTCCAGTATATGATGCGGAAAGCTTTATTGGATAAGTCGGGTCTTCTTCTTCAATATTCCAGCCCTCATGCCAAACACCAGTGAAATAACAAGACTTGAGCTTCAAATTAGTTTCAAGTGTATTGAAAACATTACCCCAACCAGGACAATTACTCGTCATCATCGTTGTATCAAGTGACAAATGTTCTAGTGTACCCGCATGCTTTTGAAGAAACTCTGAGAAAAATTCTTTGGTGCACGAGAAATGACGAAGGTCAAGACTGCGTAGCTTTGGAAAATTACCAGTGCCTCTGACTACCGCCTCCAAAGGGATTGGCGTCATTGATCTTTCTTCAGGTTCTCCCAAATCGATACGAAGACTCTCGAGGTTTGAGGCGAGAGATAATAATTGTGTAAGGCGAGGAACAAGTCCATTGATGCGGGCGTTCCATTCTTCAAAGCTGACTTTGATGGTAATGTCGATATGCTGAACATGCAGCAAGGCAGAAAGAGCCACATCGGCACTGCTCATTGGCGTCGCGCCGAAGAATGCCAAAGGTAGAGCTGTGGCTCTAAAAGTCGTCAATTTTACGCCAGCGAGGCTAGCAGCAAGAAATAGCGCGTGTAACCTCCCGTACTTAAAGGCTGTATTGCTCTGGCTCGACTCAAGGCTGAACATCTCCTTACAAAGATATGCCTTGCGGTCGTAAGAGTGTATGAATTGATCAGATGGTAATCCGGCGTCATCCAAGACGATCTTGTTGAAGTTTGGGAAGTTTGGGACAGCTAGTGCGAAGGCAACGATATTATATTCTAACGCTTTCAAGTAGACCTCACGCCGGCGAATGTGGTTGTACAGCTCATACCCCTTGTCCAAGTCTTCTTCGTCGAAGGGAGGCATAGGTTTCAGCTCCTCGACTATACAATTGATGTAATCGTCCTTACAAAGGGTTCGCAAGGTCCGTGGCTCATACGATATACTTCTGACATGCTTCGAAAGATTTGGTTGCTTTGATACATTCAACAAGTTATTGAAACTTTTCTCTGTGAATTTGACATGCAAATCTTGAACGAGGTTTTTGGACGCGACCTCAGCACAAACTTTGTTCGCCAATCGAAAATTGGTCAAGTCCTCGTGGGAAAGAGATTCGCAGACAATGACAAGAAGTTCCGTAGCTAAGACATCCGTAATTGACTTGCCGATATAGAGTGTTGGGGTTGCCATGGTGAGAGAAGATATAGATCGAATATTTGGTAATGCGGAGGATTTTTTCCGTATGTGTAAAGGCTTGAGAAGAGGTAAGATAAAGAAACCCTTTTATTCCTTACAGCTTGGAAGGATGCGGAGGCTCAAACGCAACTCCCGACCCTCTGTTGAATAAGTTTGTGGAGGTGTCGATGTTTAAGAACTTGAAGATTTTCCAAGCAGCTTTATATTTATTCGTGCGAGTAAAAAAATGCTACGGCCGCGCGATACTTCGAAGTGAATTTTCGCGAAACCACGCGTAATTTCATTTGAAATTGCTATTGGCGTACCATAGAGAAGAGCATTGAGAATTTCTCTGCCTTTATGAAATTGTGCTTGATTACCCTTTGAGATTCGTTGATTATTCTATGTCAAAATTATTAAATTCTATACTTCAAGTTGGCTCTCCAAGTGATGATCTGTATGAAAGAATCATAACTCACGTTCTCTCTTTATTTGATTTATCGCGCCGTTGTTCCTCTGTTCTTTCTTATCACCCACAGAGTTTGATTTGATTCACTGTTGGCCCGCTCTATGCCATTTTCAATACCCACTGAGTGTCATTTTTCTCTCCTTTCTTGTTTCCATCTTGGAACCTAACTCTTTCGTCACTCCAAAGGTAATAGGGTGCAGGAAGAATATCCGCACTTCTACAATTTTGAATGAGATATCTTAGCACCACCGCATCATCGAGCTTCATCCATCACCAATCACGACCTAAATCACGCCGACAGCCTTCAGCTCGATCTTTTCCTCATGCTCCGGAACATGATATCGTAAAACTTGACACCACGGATAGAGAAGCGAACAGGCAAGTCCACAAGAGTGCGCTCTTGCTAATGTGGCAGATTATCTGGTTCTGCTGAGGAGTATCATGGTGATGGAAGCATAGAATTCTGTCGTGAGACCAATAATTGCCACCATCAAAACAACAATCAGAGAGCACCCAGAAAGTATCGCACAGTTGTACAAGACCGAAAACAGCATACGCTGGCATGATAGTCGAAGAGAAGTCGTCCAAATTGAGACTTTATTCGGAGCAACCTCGGATCAATAAGTTCGCTCCCCCAATCAACCAACCACCATTGAAACTCGTGACTTTCTCACACTCCTGAGTTTATGTTGCAGATCTGATTTGGGTGTTCTTAATCCTTCGATCCTTCCACAAAAGTAACACAGCCAAAAATTGGAAGCACCGAGAAGGGACTTGGAGAAAATCGAAAAATCAAAAATCATACCCCTCGACGATAATTCAATATCAAAACACTCAATCATCATCTCTTCTCGGTTTTTATGAAGATATAGATCTGAGCTCTACGGAATAAGGAATGTCTCAAAGTTGGCAACATCAAATCATGAGATTGAACTTTGGTTCACCTCCGAAAAGTAGGTCTTGGAACCCCTTTTCTGTTCTTAGCGGGCTCAAGATTTGGCATTTTCGCTGTCTGGTGGGAAATGACACTGACTTATAAAGTACTGTGACACAACAGGTATTTACTGCAAGATCATTTTGATATCGCATCTCTCTTTATATCGCGCGCCCTTGGTGACCCTTCAAGAACTACTTAACAACAATCCAACTCATTTGGCAAACAATACCAAAAGTAGTAAGCCCTTATCGTCCTGAATGAATACGTTTATCATTGTTCAGGGCGAAGATGCTCCATGCTGGGTACGGTTGCACTGTGTCAAGAATCTCATACCCATTCTGAGAAGAGACTAAAGCGCCTACCAAGCCGGCCACAATCACAGCATCGAGTTTCATCATTCCACTGATCCGAACTTTAACCTCACACTTTCCAGTAGGTATTTCTTGAATTTTGATAACTGGATATTTGGGAGGCTCTCTCATTGACCCGGTGTCATGCCCTGATCTCCAGTTGTCTCCTTTCCAGACTCCATTTTCATTGAAGGCACAGAAAACTGTAACCCACCCGGATAGAGTTGATCCGCCGCTTAAGTTGTGAATATGAGCAATTTTTGACCAGAAATCAACTCGGGCTATGGCTCCAGGATTTTCGAAGGTTAGTATCATATTTTGGATTACCAGAGTAAGCATCTCCTTCCACTCTATCAATTCTTCGTGAGCTGACCCAAACGACTCAAGCTTGTCCAGTCGGCGAAGAATTTCTTCCCAATCTGATATCTCTCCGAGTAATGTGACTGTAGGTATACCACATTCAAGTTGAAACCTAGCAGGTTAATACACATTATGGTGCCTCATAGGATAAGAGGTTCCAGAAAGTGCCATGACGTACCTGTAATTGAAGTACCTTTTCATGGTACTCATCATTACTGAGCTACATACAATGGTGTCGACATGCGTCGTGGTCGAAAATGCTGGTAAAATCCATGACTGGAAGCTTTTATCCACGATATTTTTCTAATTACAAATTAACGACTGAACCAATTTCTTAACGCGATACAAGAGTGCAGTAAGGTTACACAAACCTGGATCATATCGGCCATGTTAGTAGTGAAAACCGTGAAGTCGAAATGATTATCTTCAACAACTAGCTCCTTTTGTCCTTCATGCGCCACAAAGAAGGAACGCAGTTCCTCAGAATGCTTATTCACATAGAATGAGAATTGAGTCACAATAGCGATCCAAATATCATCAGGACGAAGGATAAGATTACGATGATGGTTATACGCCTCAAGACAGGTATGCACTAAACCGTTCCCAGATGGGAGAATATTGCTCGCGATCTCCTCGGTAAGTGTCGATTGTAGTACAGTACTATTGGATTTTGAAGTGTCCGGTGCCAAATTCTGGAGTAAACCTCGCAAGAACAAACTATCTGGATTTTCGTCCGAGGCTTCGTTCGTGCTGTAATCATTTTGGTGCTGCTCACGCCAATTTGGCCTAAACGCTTCTGCAGCATGCTGCGCGACTTTGATCATTACTGGCATTTTGAAACTTGACGGGTCCTTGGAATCCTCGACTCTGAAAATTTAGATTGATGGAAGATATTCTGTGGCAGCACGAACTTGTCCCTCGTCTATCAGTGTGTTCATATAGAACTGCAGTTCTATTTATCTATCTGACGTCAGCTTGACGATGGTACGTAGCCCCCAAGTATTTTCGAGCTTCCCAAGTTTGTGCATAGAGTAGGGTATCATTGGATGCCCCTCCCCGGCATAAGATGCACTTTGCCTCATACTCACATTCAGCTGACACGAGCGTTTGCGTGCGCAAAGATGCTACATTTTTCAAGGAGACTATCAATGTATCTCATTTTCGAAAAGGTACATACTCCGTAGGAACTTCGGTCGTGGATCCAAATTAAATTGTTGATTTAAGGTAAGCTTTAAGCTCTGCTAGCCAGGTCGTCAAAGTTGATGATTAGTATGTACACCGGGATTAGTACCCAGCCCAGCTAGGCAGCGATAGTTTGATAGTGGGATTCGGTAAAATCGGGCGGGTGGAGATTTTATGGCTCGGCGTCTACGAGAACCCCCACTGTCTGCTAGTATCTACCTATTTTCCTCGTATTCTAATTATCTCAATTTGATAAAAGATTCATGTCCTAGGCATGTACTATCAAACCAGTCTACCAAATTGTTTCTGCGTGAGGCTTTGGATAGTTTTCATCCAAGAATTAAGATGCCGTCGATTTTCCGAAGACCAGATGATATACCATCTTGATGTGGAGGTTTCCCTTCACGTATACCTAGAATTCGGATAAACACGCAAGCAGCCTACACTGTTTTCTGCTTGGAATGTCTTGTTTTGACGGTCTAAAACTCAGATTATGAAGCCGAGTTCTCCTTGCATCAAGAACTCCCAATCGAAATACCCAAGATATTAGACAAAATCGCAATTCCAAATCTGGGGACCGAGTATTCGAGTGACTCTAGCCCGAAAATATCAAAACATGGAATAAATACCAATCGCATTTCGAACAATTCGAGTTCCGATGTAAGAATGGGCGAGTGCCAACGAAATTAGGCTATTTAACGTATATATCACTCTTCTTTGGCTCCGAACCACTAAAGTCTTTCGATCTTATTTCTCTCCTCTTTTCTTCCTCTTCTTCGTTCCATATTCTAATGGTCCCTAATCATCGCAACGATACCTAACCGCTGCTGCCAAAAGGCAACAAGAATCCATGTAATCCTGACAGTTCGTCGTATTCCGAACAACTTATTCTTGAGCAGACGTAGCATAAACTCCTGGAGGGAAGGGACTAGAGCTGCCTGCAGTGGAGTAGTTGTTATAGATATGAAAGATAAAGAGGTTAGAAGAGAAAGAGGGAGACAACAGATCCGTAGTTGGTACCCTACTAGCCTAGTTTCGAGACTAGTGACTTGTTCTCATATTTTCTAAATATGAAAACATGGAACAGCAAGGGTATATATTTTCGATATCAGTCAACTCCGATATCAATTATCCGACTGACTCTGGCCTGGAAGTTTCCAAATCTCCAGATCAAGATTCTTCATACACCGAGTTTCCAAACATAGAAACTTTGTCGTATTCCTCAAAGTGGAATGCCCAAGTACTCATAGCGTTGATTTGATTATCACCTCTCGAGCCTACACACAAAATTAGTCTCATGAATGTCTCATCTAAAGCCCCCCCCCAAGACAGAAAAACTTACTCTTTACTCCCACATGTTGCACGACCTGTTTCCCAAGTGCCAGTCTTTCCATACCCTCGTTTTCCGCATAATCCTCAATCATCAAATCCGTCTGGCCACTTCCCCTTCCCGTCAAATAACTTCTCAATCCATCCACCTGCTCCCTCGGGAAAACCATAGCCTGTGTACAGCATCCTCCACTATTCATCTTCACCACGTCTTTCCCTCTGAATTCCCACCACGGCAAATTGTGTTTCCCAACCATGAAACCCAGAGTTATGAAGGCTGGTACAACCACCACTCCTATAACGAAAATCGTCCAGTTATCCAACCAACCTCCTGTTTTCCTTTTCTCGCCGATTTTGCTTCGTATAAATATAAGAGCGGTAATTGTGCAGAGAGGAGCAGCAAAAAACAATAGAAAGTATCTATGTCGATACCAAAAATCTACCTCTTCGCTCCACGATTGAAACGTTTCTGTATAGAAAAGTCTTAGATATATCCAGTTATAAAATTTATCTCCAGGACTTTGAGAGAGAGACTCGATTTTATTGAGACCAGAAATAGTACGCTGGAACCAGTCATGAGCGAATACAATGTCGTCCTCCATTATTGCTATATAAGGAGCGTGGGTATCGTAGCAGCGGCTTAACGCGTATACATAGTCGCTAGTGTGTTGTTAGTTCTTGGAAGCCGCTAACTAGCTTGGCATTCTGAGTTCCAACGATAAAACTTACAAAACTCCTTTAATCTGCCATTCCTTCTGCTTCATCAATTCCTCTAGCCACTCTCTCCTCTCCCCTCCAACCTCATATCCGCCATAATCATCTACTACCCTCCCCAACCATTCTTCTCCCCATAACGGATGAACACTTGGATCCGTGTCTGCAAATAACAAATAAATCCACACTCTCTTTCTTTCCTCCTCACTTAATCCATCTATCATAGTTCCTAAGGCTGCATCGATGTATTGTCTTCCTTTGTTTCTATCCTGCATGTCGCGCTTGATGGTTACGTATGCTATACACATATCCGGAACCTCTGTATCTCCATCTCCATCCGAGTCTCCGGAAAGATTCGAAGTAGAATTACTGAACAAAGATGTTTGATTTCTCTCGACCAGATCATCTAGAAATGATAAGCCAGAAGATTGGCGTCGATCAGAATAGTCTTTCTCATAGACATGTGTGCTATCGAAAAATGCAGAGTGTGGGTCTCGCCAATAAACATGACGGAAAAACGAAAACAATAAGAGCCAGATGGTGGTGCTGGTTAGGAAATAGAGAAAGGCGCTGCGGCTTGGGATGAGCGCATTAGGGTGTGGGAGAGAAAATTTGCGGAGGGAATTAGAATAATGCATGATATAGAAGAAATGGTGATTGCGTATAATGAAGTGCCAAAAATCTTTACAAGCAGAAGACTCTGGGTGAGAGGAAAGAACTATCCTAATCCTAATTAGTTAGGAACTTCATTCACTCGACGTCTAATTTGCATTTAAACACGAAATCTCAATCATAAGATTGAAGGGCTCGAATCATTCACTTAGGAATTATTGTATAGAACAAACACAAAGTTTGTGATTAATAGATGGGAGAATACATGACAAAGATAACTCAGCCTGATGGTAAGCACTTGCATGGTATTGTGGGTATTTTATGTGTGCAGGATCAAAGGCACAAAATCAGGCGCATAACATTTTACACGGTAAAAACTAGGATATTGACATAAAGGAATCTTGGCGCTTATACCATGTTACATTCGAAAGCATTCGAAGGATGGAAAGTTGGGATTTTCGAAAAGCTGTCGCTGAAAGCTTAAATGAAAATGCCCCAATTTGTTCGTAACCTTGGATGTATTGTTGGTGGCTTGATGCTGTGCATAGCCTCTTTTGTAGGACCGGAGGTTTGCAGTAAAAATTATGTTATTACCCGGTCGTACCTTCAAATGTAGATTTGACTAGAATGTAATCTTGATGAAGGTTTACCAATAGCCAGTAGCCGCTTCTCTTCTTGGGATTATTTACTGGGAGAGGAACTATCTAGTCTCCACTTTGCAAGGCTTCCCGAGGTCATTGCCATTCCTTTCGTCAACAACTCCAATACTCCACAACACTCGAGATGTCCTTCCTGCCTGTATTTGCCAAATTTCTGCCTCATTTGAAGCTCTCGAGTGCTTCCTCGCGGCTCACAGTAACTCATCGATGCTGTACATGAAACGTAATTTTCTACCAAGAATTTCTAAATCTAGTGGTAGAAGTCGCAAGTAATGTCAATGCCAGAACAAGATTCCCAGCGTAATTAGCATTCTATTTACCAGTAAAAGCAAGAATGATATTGTAGTCAAACTGCTGATTGACATTGCTCTACTCAAGGATTGAGAATTAAAGGTGTAGAATCACTAGTGCTAGAAGGGCGGAAGAATCCTGTAGCCATGCGCCTGGTAGTACCAGTTCAACAGTCTCAAGCAGTCATAGATGTACCTCCAACTTCTGACAACGGTCGCGGAACCAGGAATAATTGTTGGAGGCCAGTGAAGCCAAAATACACAAACAGAACTGATATTGATGCAACTTAATATACTCAACACAAGAACAAGAGAGATTAGGAATATCCCCAGAGGAACTTCCGGCGTCCAATGAAGTGGATTGTTTCTCGACTTTTGTTGATTCGTAATGTCTGAAGGTTTTCATGATCGATATCGAAGTATTTTTTTGAGCGCAAAAACCCGTCGCTGCAACAGTAGAAGATGAAGATGGATCTTGAAAGGGACTAGTGGTCGTGTATCCAAAGGCGTGTAGTGACCAGCAGATTCCGTGAACTTCCCCAGAAATTGATCTGAGATACACCGATATTCGGCATTGTCAGTCATATATTGGAATCGATCTGGGCGCTGAAAATGATTATAAGATTGCCTATCGCAAAGCGATTTGGCAAGGTGGGATTGAATTTCTTTGATATCCACATGGGAGCCATATCACGCATTCCTTGATGCGTCTTCTTCGTGTATCGATTCGACCGAGCCAAAAACTCGCTTATGAGAAGTTGAATCTAAGGCAGGGCCATTTCTTCTTCCAAAATAGGGAAGGTTCTCTCAACCCTTGGCAAAGGAATAGAACTTCTTTCAAAACCATTGCGATTATGCATAAATTAGTACATCAGATCTTCGCATTTCCTGTGGAGAAAAGTACCTAAGTCCACCTTTAGATGCGACAGTGTTGCATAAGGTTCCGTACGCTTGATGAATTTCATAAGGGCCATTGGCGGTAAAGCGTAAATGGTAGACACAAGCATAACTAGAATCGGAATTCAAACGAAGGATCAGAATTTGCTACTTCAGGCCCATGCTTAGATCTCGATGTGAAATGAGAACCAGAGAATTTGGAATACCTAAGCCTTAAGCAATAGCCATCGAAACACCATGAAAAGCCATTTTGAAGCTTTTGACAAGCTGTAGCAAGGTTTAACCTGTTGCAGAGATAATAATGAATGAAACCCCCATGTCCGGATGACAAGTCGGAGACTTCTGTGATTCCATCATCGCTAACTGGGCATATCCTGCTGGCTGAGAAAGCGTACTGTGATTGCAAGAGATATGTCTCGAGAGAAGACAGACTGTAGGCCCTTCACCAATACCAGAAACATGTTTTTGTGTATTGTATGCCCACATTTATTGATTCACCCCATACTCAGTCGTGTTACACTCGCGATGACTGGATGCCGTCCTAGCAAAGCACAGAGAACTTTTTGCAGGGCTATGCTTATCGGTGTGTTTGTAATTGATAGCATCGACCCGCCTGTATCAACATACATTCTTAATTAAAGGTGCAAACATTCGTGAACAACACTGTATCGGCCTCCAAGTCGAAGGCTTCAATACATCATCACTGGCTTGACATGTCGTCTGAAACGTTATAACAGTAATGTCTCATAACTTTGGAGACTCAAGCTTTGCCAAGAAGCTTGATGTGCACTTTAACATGATAACCACAATGCTTGATTGAAGTCGATCTGAAGGAGTCGTCGTCAGTCCATGGTGAGCCAAAACAACCCTGTGCAAGCCCCACAATGGCATAGCCCTACGGTTTGGTGGCCTCGAATAGGTAAAACATTCTCACATTGTCTCTAATGATTACGGCCGCAGGATTCTCCATGCAATTGACAAAAACGCACAGACCATATCCTTCCATCATTAGTGGGATCAAGCTGAAGGTCCATCTTCGGTCTTAACCAAATGAGGCTTGCAAGATGTTGAGAGTTGTAACAGCTCAGCTCCGTTAATGGATGATCATTTTGAAGCTGGTGAGTTATATCAGATTGCGTGAGATAGTAAGTATATAATAAGAGGTAGAGTTGGGCCAAGTATCAATACATTTTTCAAATCGTCGTTGTCTTGCATTTTCATTCTATAAAACAATACTGTACTTTTTTTTCCCACTAACACAAGTTACATTACAATCATGGGCATTATAGTCAAACTCATCGGTTCAGGAGTTGGTCTTGTATCAGAAACAATTCATCATCATCGCAACAAGTCCTCACCCACCCTACCACAAGCTTCGTCCAATGGCGAAAGTAGTCGAGCAGCTGCTCAATCCGATCACCAATACAACGACGCCCCTCCTCAATATGTTGAGCTATCCGCAGAAGATGCCGAGAGAATGATGACAAGAGGCCAAGCTGTTCCAGTAAGTGAGAAAGAAAAGCACGAACTCGAAAAGGAATACGAGCATGATGATTCCTCGGACACAGAATCAGAGGAAGGAGACGAGGAAGCTTGGGCTTTGGACGAAGCGGCAGATAAATCTGGCCCAGGCACACCTTCTGAAGAGTCTACACAAGATGCCAATGAGCTCGTCGATGTGTTTGTGCGGAACCATCCACCTCCAGCATATAGTGCTGAGAAACCGAAACTACCTTGTCCGGTCATTCTCCCACAACGCAGACCTAGGGATAAGAAACGTGGTTTCGTCAGAGCATATGCGCCAGTGTTGGAGGACTGCGGGATTGATCAGGCTGCTTTCTTGGATTTCTTGAAAACATTTTACCATGCGAGCAAATCTTCTCCGTGGTTACAAGTCATAAATGCAGCGGCCGGAATTGTAGGATTCGTGCCCGGCCCAATCACGATGGGTGTATCTATTGCTACTCAATTTGCAGTTGGTGTGGCTATGGAGCTACAGTCACGATCAAGGTTGGTTCTTCCTATCTCAGTGTTTTCACAATGAGCTGATGGGTATTCTGCAGGACAAATACCTTCCTCGATAGAATAAACAATGAGTATTTCATGCCTCGTGGTCTTTACTGCTTGATACTTACATACAAGCCCGAATCATCGGAAACTCACTCATCTGTTGATATTACCAAAGCAATTACTTCATCCCTTGATGATACAACCACAGGTTTCAAGAAGACATTGAAGAACATTAAACTATCAAGCGGGACGACATATGGAGAGCTCGAGATGCCGGAAGCAGCACCCTTGATTTTCCCAGCATTGGATCGTATCGCCGATATTGAGGGGAGTGAAACCCCCCAGAAAAGTAACAAATTCAAGGGCAGTGGAAAGTTCGTGACCGATTACTTCGATCGTCGAGCCCAAGCCAAATACGTTAGTTCTCCACTTTCCTCACTTTCCTCATTTCGCCAGCTTCCCCAAGTTTTTTTTTTCGCTTCACCACAAACTCTAAACTAACGAATATAGGCAATGCAAAATCCAACCAGCTCTCTCGCAACGCCTAAACCGCAATTTCTCTCCCGCTACTCTGACCCGAGTCACCCGGCTAGTAGCGGGTCACTCATCTCCCTCATCACTGGCGGTCACATTAATCCGCAAGCGCGAAAAACGGAGCGAAAAGCTGCGAAGGAAGAAAGAAGACAGAACAAAAGAATTAGAAAGGCGAACCAAAGAGGAGAAGTCATTACTCCGGAGACGGGACTTAGGAGAAAGAGAAAGCCCGGACTTGTAAAGAGAATTTTGCAAAAGGTTGGTTTTAGAACATCAAATTTTCCCGCTAGATTTTCCATGGAGTGTATACAAAACTAACTGTTTTTAGGATGTGCTTTACCTCATGGTTGTGAGTTACGACCGGGGGAGTGCGGAATATCAGGCTGGTATTCAAAGTGTCGTGGAGGAAAGGGGGGTTCAATGACATGTGATGTGCTGCAACGAAAATTATACCGGGTAACCATCACTTTACTCTTTGTCATTTTCGACCTGGGGAAAATTCCGGTTGGTCCCCATGCGATGTAAATAATATTCAGGCATCCCTGAATTTCATGACCTGATTTAGTTGATATTCAGATTCTTCTTTCATTGTAAGATATCTCAAACGCTAGCTTAGCGCTGAGCCACGTACGAAGCATGCTACACGCAGTGAAAAGGTCTCAGGGCGCGGTACACCAAGCAGAAAATATGGTTGAGATCAAATCACATGAAGCGCGCAAAGCCTTTGCCAGTTGACAAATGGCTACTGAAATTATCTTAAATGGTACAAATATAGTTGGATCGGTTATATTGGCTAGTGGCAATCATCGCATGGTCGCTGCAGCTCGCGTCCCCTTCCTTTCTTTCTCCCTTTCTTTCAACAGATGTATATTACCTTTCCCTTCTTAATAAGTTTAGGTTCCAGGCTCCATGGATCTCATGGCATATACTATCACTGTTTGACGTGGATCAAGTGTGTATTGTTTTATATACGCTAGTACTGTAAAGAAACTGTATAGGGGCTAAAAGGATTACAATAGCGTAGTCGCTATCGTCGCATCTAGCTCGCGCTTCTATCATATTTGATTTTGGAGAGATTACAAAGTGATGCTAGTGTATACAAGATTGATGAACAAGTTCTCATAACCTTTGCTGTTATTAAAGGCTATGCAAAGCTAGCACTAAGTATAAGGTGTTCGAGGCCTAGCTAGTAGCTCTCATATGGTCACATGATCTTCATTTCGATGCATGTGTTGTAGTCTTCAGGTCAAATAAAGCACAGGACAACGCACGCCAGTCGATGAGTAATGATTGATTCATTGAATGCTATCTGAGTCCATGAGATGTGCCCATCTTTTGGATAGAGAATGGAGGCAGATGTCCAATCTTGAGAAGCAGCAGCGTCCAAATTCAAGCCTAAGACACTGAGAAAAAGTCGAAAAACATTACATATTTGGTTGAATGAACGTGAGCAAGCGAGTTGCTGTACTAAGATTAAAACAAGCAAAATAATACCAGGATCTGTTGAAATCTCAACAGCAAAACCTCCATAGCCTTCCCCAGAAGACTCAGACAAGGTTAATCTATTGACGGTCTGAGAACTTATGATTCGCTCTCATCGACTTCCGCACCTGGAGTAGTCTTCTCGTCTTCATAATGGGGAGTATCGGACGGAGGGGAAGATTTCGTGCCGCGGTTGTGAACGGATATTGTGTTGTATTCATTAACCCCGAATTCAAACATGCCTGAATTACCATACTGGTCGTACATTGTGGCCGTAGGATAAAACCACCAACCAAGTTCCCAAATTCCAAGTGGACCGGACGTCTTCAAGCGAGTAAGACATAGAGAATTTGCATGCTGTCTGATAACAATGTTTTTTGACCAAGCCTTTGGGTGCACCCTTCCATCGGCGTAGTGCGTCAATCCTGTTGTGAAAGAGAGAGTTGTTAATGTCTATCAAATAGTTTGGGCAAAAAGAAAGGAAGGTCGTATTAGATTATAGCGGGAGGTGTAAGTTAAGAAGAAGAAATAGAGAGACTTACCAGCGTTTACAGTCGCCCTTGCCCCCATAGGCCACATGTAGTGTAAGTCTGGACCTGCACGATGATATGCAACGCTGTTGCGCATTCCCACTACGGCAAAACTGTCATTTCTATAGCCACTGCGGTCGGCTCTGATGAACGGGTGAACCCTGCTTCTGAGGAAATAGTTGTCCTGATCCCAGCCGCTACCACTGGCGGTATCTTCTCTCCACCATTCGGAATTGGATAAAGAATATCGGATTTCCTGGTAGCCCCGAAAAGCAATGTAAGAGTCGTTTTCTGGACTGCGGGTTGTGATCACTTTGCCGTTCGGTTGGGCAATGCGTGCTCCAACGCTCTTGACTTCAGCTTTTGTTGTGCTGACCCAATATCGTTTACTTTGGTCCGCCATCAATGGCTGTGTAGGAGGATCTTCAACGTTGGCGACAAATCCGGTACCTGGAGGCATTGTGTGTGAAAATTCATTCTCAACAGAGGTAAACCTCCAAGGGCCGGTGAGCTTCTCGTCAGTGTTGTAAAAGTCAACTAGGTCAATTTTTGCTAGCTCTGCCGCTGTCAACATGTATGGATTGTAGTTGACTGGATTTATTGCCTTGATCAAGACGTTCGCAGCTACTTGCATCTGGCCATTCGCAAATAGAGAAGTACCGGCCTCACTTGTGCGTATACTCAAAGATGTCACCTCCCATTGTACAGACATGACTCACAGTACCACTGGTGTGTATGATCGACTTAAGAAAAGTAGTATGCTGTGTGGCGACAAATCCGATTGCTTAGAATTGGTAAGTTCAAGTGAAATATGCAATGTAAAATGATCAAAAGATTCAAATCTCTTCATAGGCAGATGAAGTATTATATGCACATAATACCACACACCATCAAACACTACCACACTCAACTTTCTCCCCCCGCCTTTCCTTCATTGTTATCGATTTGGATCCTGACAGGTGCATTGGGTGGGTACACATGAATTGTACGAACTTCTCCCCGCTGGAGATTGCCATTGGAGATGTAAAAGAAGCACGGTTACAAACGTCTTTGGCTTTTATCTCATGGCTCTGTACGAGTATGGGGCATCTGAATCCTCGTTATTAATTAGGGCTGTATCATAACAGTAGATTATACGAATTGATCATGCACAATACTCAATACGCTTCGCTTGGTACTGTTCGCATTGTACTTGGCGAGCTGGGTGTTGAAAGAAGGCTAGCTGACTACTTGCCCAGACACAAACACTGCATACAATGAGGTGGGGGTTCGGCATACCCCTCTTATCATGTTTGACGAGATTTGGTAAATTGCTTGAAACGTCTGTTATGAATTGTCATATTATTCAAGAAGAAGCCTTCTGCATATTCATGAGCAACAATATGGTACAACATATTTAATCAATGCAGCTTGCACCTAGACCGCCTCATTTGTTCTCCTAACTGCCTCAAAATACCCCACTTATGATAAGTCTTGAGGTCGTACAGCTTTCATGTCTGATTGTTGCTATGATTGAGCAGGTGATTCTTTAGCCTGTATGGAAAGGGATGGGGGTTGTGGAGACTTTTAACCAACGCTCGTTTCAGTATTAAGGCTGAATCGACTGCATTGAGTTTCCGAAGTCTAACAAACTTATGGGGTGTTTTGTAAAGACGCAATGCATTGTTCGATGGTTGTGCTGGACCCCGCAGGCATACATTGTATTTCTCTGTTTAAACCCCCACTCGATACTGCGGCAGCAGATACCTGAGAAAAGTAGATTGAAAAATATCATCTAGAGTCATTCTGGGCTATTGAGATTGGTCAAATTTATGGATACAACAGCTATGGAGATAGTTTTGTACTTCACTTTTTTTGCAGCTTGCTTGATCATCTTCGGCGAGGAGGAATAGAAGGTAACAAATTTCCTTCAAAACAAACTTGCCATCTTGTGTCTATATTCCGAATTTAGTAACGCAACTAGGTATTGCAATTGTTTTCCAAGCTATACTTCATAAAAATGTCATCTAGTTCTACTGTCTATTCTCAAGGGTTCAATTTTAGCGACTTTTTGCAGAAAGGCGTCGATCCACGCACCGGTCAATACACGTGTATGGTTGATCTGTATGAAGCACCAATTCAAGCCAGAAACTGTCCTCCTTTCAAGCTCTCCTTGTCCTTCCATCCATTGAACACACAAGACGTTGGATTGGGTCAAGGATGGAGATTCAACCTCCCTTCTTATGAACACCGTCAGTCGAACCGGGTCGTCAGCCTCTCAACAGGCGAGTCTTACCGAGTTACCGAAACATCTAGCACACTCTTTACCACCGATCAAAAGCTTAAGAGCTCGACTTTCAAGAAGTTAGATGCCAACACATACCAGATCACTTATAAGTCGGGTCAAATCGAGAATTTGTCAAGTTTCAACAATAGATACAATAAGTCTGTTCTTGTTGACTTATATGCATCTACTGGACGCTCGCTATCATTTGTTTGGTCTGCACTTGGTGAGATTGCTCGCCTCGACAAGATTCAGCAAGGTTCAGAAATTCTTCTTGAGGTTAAGTATGGGACATCTCAAGTGGAGATAACCAAGGCCCCAAATACCCCCGAAGCAGCTACCTTTACCCTCATTCAAAGAAACAGTCAGCTGGTCGAGATCCGTTTGCCTTGGGATGGAGCATCCTGGAAGTTTGGCTATCAGAAGTTCGGTCAAATGGTTCATCTGAACAATGTAACCAGCCCGTCCGGTCTCGTGGAAGAGATCAGCTATAAAGAACAAGGACATCGATTGCCAACAGGGGCCCCTTACCAGGCAATTCCTTATGCCATATCTCATACTGCACGCCCTGGCAATTCACAACCTCCGATCACAACCTCCTACACCTATTCTGACTATAACTTTCTTGCATATGGTAGTAGTCAAAACTGGAAATACGGAGAAGATAATTTGTTCCTTACCCGTGACGAATACCAATACACCTCAACTGTTCAAATTCAAGGCGGAATAAGAACGAAGAATACTTACAATAAGTTCCATCTTCTTGTCACTTCTGAACAACAAAAAGGCATCAAACAGGTCACCCAGAAGATCACATATCATGCGGTCCCATTCGCACCATTCGAAAATCAACCTGCACAATATCAATTACCTAAAACTGTTGAAACTACCTACAGGGATACAGCTAGTCAGGCAACCCGTACAGAAACGAGTCATCATGTCTTTGACGAATGGGGAAATCCTATACAAGACATCAAACCAACTGGTATCAGAATCGATCGAAATTACTATCCAGCAGCTGGTGAAGGCATATATTGCCCACGTGATCCACATGACTTCCAAAGATATTTGAAACGCGAGACGGTAACACCAGCCAATGCTTCAGGGCCAATTCGCAGTGAGAATTATACATATGCCCAAATGCCCACGGCGAACGGCACAAAGACGAGCTATCTTGTCGTCCTCCAACAGAAGCAAAATATGGAGGGAAATAAGCTTCTTACTAAGTTCGATTACACTTATGTGAACAATACTGCAGCAAGAGACCATACCCGCCTTCAGAGACAGGTGACACGTCTTTTTGACCAGTATCCCACAACACAGAATTGGACTTACACATATCCCAGTGGCAGTCAGTTCGTACAGACGGTGGCTACTACAGCTTTTGATGCTTCTACGGTGGTGGAGGAAACGAGCTATTCACTGTGGTCTGGGCTTACAGCGACTCATAAGAACCAAACTGGTATTTCTACCCATTACTATTATGACAGTCTCGGTCGCGCTTCCAAAACGGTTCACTCTCAAGGTACCCCCTATGAATCCGTTGAACGTCAGGAGTACATTTTCCTTGGAGTTAACAATGGATCGCGTAGAACAGTGATTGATGCAAAGGGTGTACAAACTCGCTACATTACAGATGGCTTGGAAAGGCTTTGGCGGGTTGAGAAACAGGATGGCCAAGTGTTTCGGCTGATCCAGGAAAATAGCTACAACGCTCAGGATCAACTCATCACAACATCTGACATTGATTGGCTGAGAACAGAAAAGATCGAGTCACCATCTGAGCAAAAGAACATCAAGTCAATGGAATACGATGATTGGGGCAAGGCTTATAGGGTGTCAGATAATTCTGGCTTGCGTAAATTAACCAATACAGACCCAATTGCCAACACAAAAGTTGAGGGCGTTGAGGGCGAGGGAATGACTAAGACCAAGTTGAATCTCTTTGGCGCGCCCACACAAACAGCGCTCTACCACAAAAACAACACCCTCTACAGCAAGATGGACTACACCTACGATGGCTTAAATCGTCTTCTCAGGCAGCAAGATAATCTTGGTCGTGTAACTGAATACAAACCCGATTCCTTTGACCGCGTAGTTGAAACTATCTGGCCTGGTACTCGCGTGGTAAAGACACAGTATGCGAGTCAAACCACAGCCTTATTGCCAGTTTCAGTGAAGCTTAACGACCGATCAGTAGGCGAACAATCCTTTGATGGATTAGGCCGTGTTACGAGGAAAGTTATCGGCACACGAACTACCAGTCAAAGCTATCAGGGGATTTCACCCGAGCCTTCACAAATAACCAACGCAAAGGGAGAGCAACACAACCTAACTTATCAGTCAGCTTTGAATAATGCGCTTACCCAAATATCCAGTAGTAGCCATACAGATGCTTATACATATGACGCTCAAACTGCTGCTCCATTGCAATTCAAAGGTGCTTATTCTACCCACGATCTACAATACTTGACTTCTGGACTACTTTCTCGGGAAACTATATCTATCAATGGAGGCCAGACACTCTCTGCTCTGTACACTTACTCGATGGCAGGAAAGTTGCAAAAATATACCGATGCGAACGGGAAATTGCAAGTGACTCAGTATGACGCGTTCGGAAGACCTCAACAGGTAGCACAAGGCAGATTGAAAGTATTATTTGTCTACGACAGCGCGAGCCGTGTGATAGAAAGCCGTGTTCAGGACGAAGAGAAGAATACAAAGATAACTACCAAACTGACATACGATGACTTCGGTAGGGAAATCAAACGATCTGTATACAGCGGCGAGTCAATATTGATATATCATCTCAGCCAGACATACAATGTAATTGGTCTTGTAGCTTCGCGCCTCCAGGAGAAAAGTGGTACTGTGATGCGAAATGAGAGTTTCGAATATGATGTCCATAACCGTCTTGTCAACTATCAATGCCAAGGAAGCGAGCCTCCCGCAGATCAACGAGGAAATTTTCTTAGATCGCAACAATTCGTCTTCGATAACTACGATAACATTGTACAGACTTACACAGTATTTCAAGGCGGCAGTTCAAATACTTCCACCAGCTCTTTTAGCACACAAGACCCTACTCAACTCATTCGAGTCACCAACTCACATCCAGATTATCCATCCATTGTCCTCGAGTATGATTATAATGGATGCTTGACACGCGATGAGCAAGGCCGAAGACTCCAGTATGATAACATGAGCCGCTTGACTGATGTGCGAGATGTCAATAACAATGTTCTTGCGCAATACTTGTATGATGCGGCGGGAAACCTAGCGTGTCAGAGAGTGCCCAACCAGCCAGATACAAAGTTCTTCTATAGGGGATCGCTTATAGCCGTGCAAAAAGGAGATCGTTCGGTTAGCTATCTATCGAATGGATCGGAATATTGGGGAGAAATAGTTTCTCAACAAGGCGGAAGCACCGAAACCCATCTCTGGGCTTCTAATTGTCAACAGTCTGTTCTCACCACATTGGATTCTCAAAATCCTAACCAGATTCAAAATCAGCAGTATACGCCGTATGGATGTTCTGGCTCTGAAGCTGGGTCTTCCTTTCCCTCTATTAGCTTTAATGGACAATGGCGAGATCCCATTACAGGGTGGTACCACTTGGGCAATGGGTACCGAGTCTACAATCCTCAGCTTCAGAGATTTCATACACCTGATCCCTGGGCTCCATTTGCATCTGGAGAAATCAATCCTTATGCATACTGCTTGGGAGATCCCATCAATCGAGTAGATCCAAATGGCCACTTCAGTCTCTTTGGCATGAATTTTACGTGGAAAGATCTCATCATGGTGGTGATTGGAATTACCGTTAGTGTAGGGGTTGGAATTCTGACTGGTGGTGCAAGCTTGGCTATACAGGTTGGTGTTGGTCTCGCAGCAGGTGTGTTATCAGATGTAGCATCTGGTATGGTTGGAAGTTTGGCAATCGGAGAAAAAATAACTTGGAGGAGTGTTGGTTTAGATGCTCTTGGTGGGTTATTAGGTGGAATGGGCGGTGAAGTTGGTGGGAGATTTCTAAAACAGGGATTCAAAGCTACCAAAGCCTTGCCAACAGCTCTCAAAAAGACAGTAGGCCGGGCAGGCTCATACGCTGTCACAAAAGAAGCGGCGGGCGCGGTTGCAAGTAAAAGTATAACAGTGTTGAAGAGCGGATTGAGAGCTTCTGCTCGAGGGCTAATTCCTGGGCAGGCGACATCACGATCGTTGGTTCCTCTCATTGCCCCTGATCCACAAGATGGAACCGAGCAATCTCAAGGGGGGTCTTCCAAATTGATATCCAATAGTGGCAACGATGACTTTTCGACTGCCCCGCTAGGACGTTCCGGGCCTGCTCAAGTTGGTAGCCAGTCTTTCTATCTTGACAGGGGATCTTTCATGATGAGAGATGTTATACGGCCTCTCATGAGGGATGGTGATGATATCGCCATGTCGACATCATTCATGAGCAACTATGGAAATGTGTCTAGCGCTGGACAATCTGCTGTTGCATCCCTACTCGGGCGTGAAATTAGGTTTACTTATGGCCCACTAACTAATTTGCAATCGGAGGAAGATTCTTAGGGTTAATTCTCTCCTCTCTCTTTGGTATGGTAGATAATTGAAATCTCATCTTTTTAACTCAGGAATCAAAAAGCTTTTACCATTGGATTTGAATTAAAGTCCGAACTAATGGATCCGGATTCGTTGCGCGAGCATGCTAACCCTGCAAAGTCTAACGAATTACAATCATCTTGCTCTGAAAAGTCTATCCTCACTGTCTAGTATTTTACTAATTGCTTCTTTCCCCAACATTGGTGATTCAAATCCCCCGGTGGAAAGGCGGGGAAGAAATTATTACGTACTAGTTCATTTTGAAATCTTCTACGCACGGAAATTACCCAATTTGAAATCACACCATCGATCAATAGCCTCATTTAAACTCGTAACAGCATCAGGTTATTCATTGTAAGAAGCGTGACCAGTATGAAATAGATGTTTAATGTCCAGTGCGCTCTAAAGTCAAGCCATATTTACGAATAGTGTACCCGCAATGCCCCGTAGATAGGCTCGAGATAGGCCTTTCATGCGGGTCGGTAATTCGCGGTCTAGAATTTAATGTCCCTGAAGGAAATAAGGTTTCGGGGGATGCATGGATCCTCGGAGAACTAAGAGCTGGGCGGAGGTTAGTTTGAAATTCAAAATTCTGTAATCTGGGACGCTGAAGCCTGAATGATATCTTTGACAGTGACAGTTACAGTGGATGGAAGTGGATGGGTAAAAAATGCGGAGAGAATAGCGCGCAGCACTAGACCCCGCGAGCTCGGAGACTCCATTATTTCCAACCATTTGAGGATTATATTGGTTCAACTTTGCGAGGATTATAATTCTGACTGCTGATGAGTAGGGATGGTCGATGGATATCAGCGGCTTATTGCACAATATTTATGCTGAGAGTTATATAAGTGAAAGTGCCTACGTGATTTTAGCCCTGTCACTTCTCCATGAATCCACATTGTTATCTCAAGAGCGATTGATATTATCTCTAAGTTGCAAATATCTCTGTACAATTAGATATGGGAAATATCTTTACAATAGATCAACATAAATTCGAAACTCAATAAGAATACCAAGAAAGATAACTTAGATAAGCACTTGTTTTGCTAACCCCTTCATCCTCGCTTTGCCCGAGACGAGCCTCAATCTCGTCAATTCTCATGCTCCCGAATTCCCAGATTTAAAACCTTTGTTCACTGCCTCGGTCCGATAGAAGTTAAAAAAAGGTTTTTGTATAGGCAAAGAATTCTTCTAGAAGAATCATTAGAGGCAAACTAGTGAAGCCACCACCGTGACTGGTGTCGCAGTTTAAAGAAGATGCCTTGCTCTCGATTGTGTGGTGGTCAAGGATCTAGACCTTGTGAAAAGCCCTCAGACTACTCTGTCTTATCTACGCCCCCCAGTGTGATCCTTACTTTGTATGCGGAGCTGGAAGCCAAGCTGAATAGTGCTAACTTGAACCAATCATACTACAAAATATCGAGCTACTATTATAAAAGAAGCTTAGTACATCAAATGCCACGATCTGAATCGAGGCTGACCCCCGAGCACATTATACCTATCTCTCACTAGTTAGTACCGAAATCATCTTGACAAACCAGCCTAGGTCATCCTATTTGAATTTCTCCCGCACATTTGACGACGCAAATTTGCAATGAGATTGGCGTAAGTACAACTCCATACTCCAATCTTATCTGTTATCTATATGTTATCGTCCCAGAAACATGCCAATACCATTCTATTGGATACTGGTCCACGCAGAGCTGGGATTTAATCTTGATACCCATTGATAAACGCGATGCATAGGGTTTAGTTCTCTCTGGCTAAAGTTTGGGAGTCGGGGTTCCCGTGGGTCAGGTATCACCATAAGATTTGTATGCAAAGTGGTAAGCTTTACCATCCATTTCAACACAACCGTTAGCTTCCCTCTTCCAGTCAGTTGCGGGAAAATAGTCGTATCACTGACAAGGGAGGCAAATATCCCTAGCCTTGGTGCGATTTGGATTACCCGTATCATTTACGAAGCAAGAGGCGCCGATAGGTGATGCATGTGTGCAGACATGCATACGCCAAAGCCAAGATCGCCATTAGTGGCATATACCAGAGCGGTAGGTGCGACGATAGATACTCAGGGCAGAAAGCTTCGTGTATAAGTACTCGATGTTACGCGATGTAACTTCAGATTTTCTGTATCATTATTTAAACGTCTTGTCTTTTATTCACTCGGTGCTTGCGATCACAACTTCGTATTTCGATATCATACTCGTTGAGAGTGAATCGAATTCGACTCCCCCTTCCTTTCCCTCTCTTATCAGGAGCAATCCAAATTTCGAAAAGGTAGTAAGAATTCCTCTAAGAAATAAAGATGGCTTTCGACGATAAAGAGAAATACACGACTGATGTGTCGCCACCATCACCTGCTGATGGCGACATCGAGGTTGGCCAGTCTGGACAATTGAAGAGACAATTGAAGGGCAGACATATGCAAATGATCGCAATCGGTGGTTCTATTGGAGCCGGTTTGTTCGTTGGTTCGGGTTCTGCTCTTCACTCTGGTGGTCCAGCCTCGTTGGTTATCGATTTCATCATCATTGGTATTATGTTGTTGCTTACTGTTAATGCTTTGGGAGAACTTGCTGGTAAGACTACCCCGTTCCTATTTCACCTCTTTTCCTATACTTTTGCAAATGACTCAAGCTAACATCACCTTGCACAGCTATCTATCCTGTTGAAGGATCCTTCTATAATTACTCCGTCAGATTTATTGATCCAGGTTGGGGATTCGCAATGGGATGGAACTATGCTATCAATTGGCTCATCATTCTCCCCTTCGAATTAACAGCTGCCGGTATCACAATTGGATTTTGGACCGACCCAGATAATTCAGGCAATCCATCAGTGAATGTTGGAGTTTGGATTACTATTTTCCTTGTCATGGTTACCGTCATCAACCTCTTCGGTGTCAAAGGATATGGAGAAGTGGAATTTGTTCTCGGTTTGATCAAAGTGATTGCTATTATTGGCTTCATCATTCTCGGTATAATCATCGACTGTGGTGGTGTGCCAACCGATAACCGTGGCTACATTGGCGCCAAATACTGGGGAACTCCTGGTGCTTTCCGCAATGGCTTCAAGGGATTCTGTTCCGTCTTTGTGACCGCCTCCTTCGCATTTGGCGGAACCGAACTCGTAGGATTAGCTGCAGCAGAAGCCGATAACCCACGAAAATCGATTCCTAAAGCTACCAAGCAAGTCTTTTGGCGTATCTCCCTCTTCTACGTCATTTCACTCTTCCTCCTCGGTCTTATCGTCCCATCCGACAACGAGATTCTCTCAAAAGCCTCTGGCGGTCACACAGCCTATTCTCCTTTTGTCCTTGCTTTCCGTTTGGCAGGAATCAAAGTACTCCCCTCCATCTTCAATGCCGTCATCACACTCTCCGTTATCTCGGTCGCCAACTCCTGCACTTTCGCCTCTACCCGTACCATTCAAGCTCTCTGTGCCAAAGGCATGGGTCCATCCTGGGGTGCAAAGGTCGATAAACAAGGTCGCCCAATCATTGCCATTGCCATTGCTCTCGCTTTCGGTTTCCTCGCCTATGTAAATCTTGCTCCTCAAGGTTCTACCATCTTCACATGGCTCCTTTCTATCTCTGGTCTTTCCAACTTCTTCACCTGGGGCTCTATCTGCTATGCTCACATTCGTTTCCGTAAGGTATGGACCATGAATGGTCGCACAAAGGATGATCTCCCATTCGCAGCTATGTTTGGAACAATTGGATCATGGATTGGTCTTGGCCTTGTTATCCTATGTCTTGTCGCCCAATTCTACGTCGCACTTTTCCCCATTGGTGGAAAACCAGATGTAGAAGCTTTCTTTGAAGCTTACCTCGCTGCTCCAATTGTTATCCTCTTCTTCGTTGGATACAAAGTGTTTTACCGACAATGGTCTTTTGGCGTAAATCTCGATCAGATCAACGTTGATGAGGGCAGACGTGAGATGGATTTGGTAGCGTTCAGAGAGGAATTAGATGAAGAGAGAAGAGTCAAGGCAGCTTGGCCTTGGTGGAAAAGACAGTGGGATTTCTGGATGTAGATCTCTTACTATGGGATGGAGTTTGTTGGTTTGATTAAGATATACAGATGTCAGGTTACCTATTTGGGGGTACAGAACAATGTTCGGTTTATGAATTTATTTTGAGGTTTGGCAAGTCGAAAAAGCACTAGCCAAAAATGAATGGAATGGATCTCGATAGATGTTGAACTCTATGATATATACCCCAAAATATGAAAACTTTATGATTACATATATCCGTTCACTGTCGTGTCTTTCGTTCGAGATACGCAATTCATTATGCATCTGTTCTTTGCCGCAACATCGTAAAACATCAGAATCATTTGTCTGTCAATTTATTTGGAAGTACATGGACACTTACTACTGATCTCATTCATCCCAACTCAAGTCATTACAGAACTATCAAAATTCTTATTGAACTGAAAATCACCTTCGTGATAATACCTCTCTCAGCAAGTAATGAACTCAACAAAACCAAGACATCAAACACTTAACAATAACTATCAAGAAATCTCCAATCAATACTTCAGGCAATACAAGACGAATAGTTGATTGAATCTTACTGCTCAAATGACAACCATCTAATCTGTACTTTGCTCATTCCTTTACACTTCCTCAACGTTTACAGTCATAGCCGTTTTTGCCGAACTCGATCACTAATCAGGAGAAACACTCGCTTCGGCAACCATTTTATGATCACTAATCCATCACTACGCACGAAAGATTTACGGAGCTAAGCATCAAACTACACCTGGAGATGCATCACTTCCTAATTAAATGGCAAGGCAAAGCGTAAACCCCCCCGTCTGAGGCGCATACGGCGAGAGATCTAACTGCGAAGTTAGCTAGCTTGAAGGAAGTTGTCAGTGGGCTTTTCTATGATGCTAGGCAGAATAGTATGAAGCTCCGAATCTGATTAGAAAACGATAAAGACATGTCGAAAGATTGCAAGG